TGCTCTAATGTCAGCAATGGGGTCAATCCAGGCCGTTGGTTTTGCCCTCTGCAAGGAGAGGGACTGGAGCCAATGGATGCTAGGTTGGAATATTAGGCTTCTAACAGTGGCATACTCGGTACGTCACACCCTTCTTTTACTGGTTATTTATTGTTTTAACATTTTCTTCATCTTTATCTTGAGTACTTGAATTTATAGTCAATTATTAATTAATTGAATCTATCTATATCTATATATTAATAATTGGATCTATCTATATATGTTGGTGACTTTATGCTGTAGGGAATTATGGTCACCGGGCTAAGTGCTGCATTTATTGCTTTGTGCATAGACATGCGAGGCCCTTTGTTTGTATCTATTTTCAACCCTCTCATGTTAATGCTCGTTGTCATCGTTGGGTCTTTGGTATTAGACGAGAAGTTGCATCTTGGAAGGTATGTACGTACTCTTGACTGAAAAACTTGATTTTCGCATTATAACATGGTCATCTTGCATTTTCTCGAATAGTAACTGTTTTGTTAATTGATATTGTTCTAATTTATCGTTGATTATTCTCTAAAATATGTATATTGTTGACAATGAGTCCCTCAGCATTGTGGAACTTTGTCGTCACATTCTCACTTATATTCTTAAATATACATGTCCTTGCTAGTGTGAACCCGCAAATGAACCCGCAAATGAGCGGTAAAGAGATCATGTGCAAGGGCTCGAAGAGAACTAGTGTGAAGGAGAATCATAATCGACAAAGATTCACATCCTTCTTTGAGGACCCATATTGGTATTAGACGAGAAGTTGCATCTTGGAAGGTATGTACGTACTCTTGACTGAAAAACTTGATTTTCGCATTATAACATGGTCATCTTGCATTTTTTCGAATAGTAACGGTTTTGTTAATTGATATTGTTCTAATTTATCGTTGATTATTCTCTAAAATATGTATATTATTGAGAATGAGTCCCTCAGCATTGTGGAAACTTTGTCGTCACATTCTCACTTATATTCTTAAATATACATGTCCTTGCTAGTGTGAACCCACAAATGAACCCGCAAATGAGCGGTAAAGAGATCACGTGCAAGGGCTCGAAGAGAACTAGTGTGAAGGAGAATCATAATCGACAAAGATTCACATCTTTCTTTGAGGACCCATATTGGTATGTTGCGGCGGTGCAACTTGGCACATGGAATGCACACTCAAATGCGTAAATCGTCAGGTTCGTACCCAGTAACCAACTGTAACGTCATATAGGTTGGGTGGCAATGGGCCTTAAGGCAGACCAACACAGTTGCGTACAAGATTGCATAGCCCTAGGCAGAAACCGAAAACTTGTTACATTCACCAAAATCCGGGCAATCATTTAAATTGCACTTTATGATCACTCGGCGAGGCTATTTGGGGTGAACATGGGAATTCGATGTTCAATTGTAAACCCAAAATACATGCAATACTTTATCAAAAACTGTCGATATAAACTCTCTTGCATTATCCAGTTTCCCGAACTTTATGGGATAAGTAGAGTGGTAAACCCTTAATCGGCCAAGAGGTTTAGCAGCAATGTGTGTGGACAAACATGTGACCAATTTGTCGATTCATCAACCAAAACCATAAACCTTTATATGGTTCGTATTTTGGTTGGATTAGTCAACATATATTCCCTTGAATCCACTGTGAAAAGGGTGTGATTTCGTATCTTTGCAAGGAATAATATAGAAAATTAATGTCCCTAATGAGCAGGCTTGGAAAAGTGTGCTTGTAGGCACAAGATCCTTACTTCGAGTAAGGAGATGCGTCGTAACATCATTGTTCGACCTAAGTGTCCCAAATGGTCGTGCCAAAGCAAGTAAACTGCTCAATCACTAGGCTCCAGGCTGGACACATGTGGTGTGTTCCCAGTTGGGAAACAACCTATTGGCCCCAAATCAAAGCTGCATGCTCATTTTTGGAGGTGGTGCAAAGATATTCCACTCTATTTTCTTCGGTGGTTTCATTTATGATTATCGTTCCCTTGAATATCCTTAAAAACTCAACGACATGGAGAATTTAAGGTCCCTTAAATGGTAATTTGGTACCATTCATACAATGAGGAGCGTGCCAATGCTCTTAATCATGTTGGATAGACCTGAAGTCCTTGTTAGAAATGTGATTTAGGTGTAAAGTTAGTGTGCGTAGCATCGCATTCATCTTGACAACTAACTTTCTCACATTCCTATCTAATCACATGTTTAATTGAATTTGGTCACATGTATACAAGAAACATAATTCAATTAACTCATATTTGAAGACAATATCAATAAGATTATCCATAAGTAAAACATACACCAAACTTGAATCCAAGAACATGGAAAAATGTTCACAAAGTAATGGTTTACTAAGGGGATTATGCCAACAAGGCCATCCATGTCAAAATTCTGCTCTTCCAACGATGTTTGGTGGAGCAAAATTAGTGTCACAGATTGGCTACGAGAATGGTACTCCTCAACAACATTGGTAGGGGCACGAACATGTGTATAACCAATGATCTATTCCATCGAGATGGAAGTAGATTTTGTAGGGTTAAGGTTCGAGAATATTTTTCCTTATTCTTGAAGTTTTTAGGTCTTAGGTGCCAACGATCATGCTTCAGGCATGATGCCACACCTTGGTATGCCTTGATTCTACCATATGTTGTAAAAACAAACTCAAAATTGGATCGTGAGATAAATAGACCCCGAATTGGATTTGGTAGGCTTCAGCCGAAGCTGGAAGGGTCTGTTCGATAAGTCTCTGGCGAAGCAGAGCAGCACTGTTCGGTGCACCTGTGCCTAAGCAGGGCACAACCGTTTTGGTAGGCTGTGATCGAACTGCGTCAAGCCATTTGGTAGACTCCAGCCGAACCGAGTCTATGTCGTTCTCTCACGTTTATGGTAGTAATCAGATCCAAGAATTTGGTAAACTTCCGCTTTATACATTGCTACTTCAGTTGCAAGTTAGAAACATGGAAGGACTAGAAAATTATTCTCTAGTCAAAATTTGATCGAATTTATAAACTTTAGAATTGTATTCATTCATGGACGTAATCATGGTGTGCTTCAGGCAATGTCTTGTACCCTACATAAAGTGGTTTCTATTAGAAACATCCAAATAAGGGAAATCAAACTTGTGACGATTCGATAATCCATTGAATTTGGAGGGAACAAGATTGTGATTGGTGCTATGGGAATGAATCATCCATAAGCATCAAAGTTAGAACATTCGAGTTTTAAGACATGGTTTTCATGAAAAACGTCGGGTTTTCATGGGTGTATTGTTTTATGAAAACTTTGGGTTTCAAAGGCACTAAATTTGAAACTAGAGGTTCAATTTAGTTTATGAACATTTAGTTCATAAAAGAAAGCGTTCCAGCAAGAAACTGAATACAATATGCTGTTTTAAGTGTAGTGGATTTGAGGTTCTTCGGGAACTCAAGTGTGAGAGCTTCGTTACTACGAAAGTATGTGAACGGTTCAGAGAAAAGAAATAAAATATTGAATCATTAGTATCCAAGAGTGGGTTTCAGACCAATAATTTTGGATTTCTTATTAATGGACTGTTGGTCATTTTTAATTAATTTACTATATCGGGACCATTCAGGGTGGATCGTAGAAGCAAAAATAATGGCATTCGGGTCTTATTAGCTTCAATTGGCGGCAGGCCAAGTGACAAGTGAATTATAGCTTAATTAGCATTAATAAAAAATATCCCAAAAATATTTGGGTATGGTTAAAAAGCACGGGATGGCAAAATATGGCGTCGGGTCGAAAAAAACCTAAAATGGCACAGCCCATCACGTGTGGGCTGGTTGTGTGAGGCCTGCAGCAAAAATTGCATGTCTTTGGGCTCGGGTCAGGCTGCACGGGGCAGCTCATTCAAGAAGTGGGTTGCAATTGCAATTGCACGGGTCAGGCTTGGGAAAAAAAAACTGTTGTGCAGCCCAGCATACAATCAAGCAGTTAAAGGCAGCGAGGCCCAGCAGCGCAAAGGCTACCGGCGATGGGCCGAGGCGCTAGAAGGCCAGCACGTTTGCTGGCATCTATATCAGACCGAGGGCTTGAAGCCCATGCACCAAGGACCCAAGCAGCAGGCTTGGTCCAATTTGATCAGTAAGCCTGAAAAGGCTGTCTAATTGCTTACCCAAGCTTCAGGCTTGGTGCGTTTCAACCGCAAACTTTTCCCAAAAGTTTAATTGTTTTTTTTTCCCGACAATCTTAGGGTTTGGAAAAACCCTAAATTTCTTCTAATTTCTTTTGATTCTTTGACTCACATATTCCACATAACAAAAATTGCGTAATGCATGACACGTATATATATTGATAAATATATGAAACATATACAATATATATATCGGAAGGAAAATATAAACATAGAAGGGTTCATGCATCATGACGAATGTTTTCATGCTTCAAGGGCGTTTCAAATATCTTACTTTATTTTAAGCGTACTTGATTGGCAAAAAACTATAAAAGCCTTTGAATTTGTAGATCCTTCAAGGAAAGCCAGAATTGCATCTCCAATGCGTTATATCACGTTCAATAAAGAGAAATTAAATTGAATCAATAGCATGTATATCAATTCAATAAAATAATAAATTAATCATAAAAGAATAATAAGAACGTAATACTCCCCTGATTGAAGAATGAACTCTCTTTAGTGCAGCGTCAAAAGCGTGCTGATAACATGCTTATGTATAATTTACTAAACAATTATGGACGCCAGATAGAAAGGGAAGGTGGCATAGAGAGAGAAAGAGAGAGATGTGTAATTGTGAGGTGTGTTATATTCCACCCCATTTTGCCTTTATTTATAGTAGTAGGGAAGGTTAATTCCTTACCTTTTAGGATTACAACTTTTAATAGATAAATTTACACAATCACATTCCTAATCTAATAGGACTGCAACATAGATAATTTTTTTTTTTTTTTTGTTAAAAAAAAATTAACATCTTTCCATGCTCAACTTCACCAAAAAAAAAAAAAAAAAAATCTATTTCACCCTTGAATAAAACTGAAGAAGGGAAAAACAAAAATAAAATCTCTTTCCACATCCAATGGAATTCTCTTCATCCTAAAAGCCAGTGGCAATTTCAAATCAAACCCCTTCAGCATAAAGATCCACGTTTCACGGCAGCTGCGTTTGTCCTCCACATCACAATCTTTGACTTCGAACAGCGTTCATACAACATGAAGGCTCCCTCTTCATCTCAATACCTTCCCTTCCGCCGCCTCTGCAACCCATTGGTGTTAACTTTTGTAAAAATTGAATTCGATAAAACTGGAAAAATGGTTGAAAGAATTTGATGAAGCAGACAAAAGGAATTTTGAGAAATCTTGCAGAGAGAGTTCGTTGCTCTCTAGTGCGTTGGATTCACACGAGTCTACGAGCTAACAAACCCCATGTGAGCAGCACATGCTTCACTTAAACCTTCTAACAGAAAAGACAGGTGGCACAATACAGGCTATTAAGATGTTTTAATCTTAGTTGTGCATGGCAGCCAAGAGTTCAAGCTATAACTAAGAGTTTTACAGAAATCTTGAAATCCAAGAAATCTTCATCAACAAGCTTATTCTCCAACAATTGGATGAAGTCATCAAATGCCAATTCATGACTAAATGGAAATTTATGAAGTAGAAACGCCTGTACCTTTTTCAATCATCTGAATTCGACTCCACCATATCCTATTTTCAACTTTGCAACTAATTTCAGTGGCTTGAAGTAGGGTTGACAATTTATCTTTGGAAGTTCCGATATGTTGCTCTCCATGTTCCTTAAGAATTGATCAGTCCTCCAACCTTGCATTTAACTTAATTATAAATACTAAACTTCTAATGGAAAACAAAAAGAACTAAGGGTAGGTTTGAAAACCGAATTAAACCTAACCAAACTGAAGTTAATAAAACGGCATCGTTTTGCAATTCTACTCAACCTCATGTATACAATTGTTTACGACGTGCATTATTTTCATGCAAGCCAATAATTCTACTCAACCCCTTGTGTGCACGGTGTGACACCCCGTACGTGTAATTTAAGAGAAGAAGATCACGTGCATGGTTTTGGTCCCAAAAGTACTAGTGGGCCGACAGTTGACAAAACAACACCATCAGGTGGAGAGATTTTTCAGTGTAATTGGCATACGAGGTGGTACATCACGTGTTATTATATAAAAATGGTGGGATATGTGTGTTAAAAAGTTAATAATTTCAAAAATAAAATTTCCCACCATTTAATCAACTAGTAGAAGGAAATTATTAGCTAATTTTAGTATTTTACCAATGTTCCAAAGCAGCATTAAGAGGGAAAATTGAAAGTGAAATACATTTTATCCAGTATGAAAGTAAAGTGAAATACGTTTTTGTGTCATGTGATGCAGGAAATTGTGGAAACTGGACTCGTAGTGACTCTGACGACATGGTTTGTACATTTACGTGGGTCATAGTTTGTATTAACTTTTAACCTCTGGTTGTACTTCTTGTGTCTTTGTTGCAAGATGAGAGATTATATGTGGGGAGGTATATATGGTTTTTTATTAAATTTTGGGAATTGTTATTGGCACTTCAAAAATCTCATTTTGTATTCTAAATTTTCTATAATTAGAAAGAAAAATATACTTGTAAAAAGTGTAAAATGAGATTTTTAGAATATTAATAACAATTCCCTAAATTTTTTGTTTTGTTCAATAATCTCTTTTCTTTATTTTTTCCAGTCACATTTCCGTCCGTGTAGTTATTTTGTTACATTTCAATCCTTGTAGTTTCATTCCATTAGCTCTGTTGGTTCAATCCCTCAAATAAGGCAAAATATCTTTCTCTAATTTTGGTTTTTAGAATGAGAATATGAGCACGAATATGGATGGATCAAGTTGGTTAACAAATTGGACAAAAGTTCAGGCGGTGAACTGCTCCAGCTAAGAGTAAAATTGGATGATGAAGAGTAGATTTTTTTTTTTTTTTTGGTAAATGCTAAATAATACCATCTGCTTGTGGCAGGATAAAAAACCAACTTATACTAGGGTTTAGAAAACTAATACCATGTAAAACTATAGGGTTATAATGGGATGATTTATATTGGCGTAAGTCTATATTTTAGAAGAAAAGGAATGTAAATATTTTGTAATTATTAGAGTCATGTTATAGGAAGGATATTGCACATGTCCTTTATTATTGTTTCCTTTTGTAATAAAGATTGTATGTACTTTTATTCAAGATTATGGAATACAGAAAAGTTAATCCGTAAAATTCTATTTGGCATCAGTGCTAGGTTTGCCATAACCCTAGAAACTGTAAAACAATATTTTCTTCCGCTGCTGTGTTCGGTTGACTTGTTCCTGCGATGCTCATTGTAGAAATCGGTCAGTCCGTGTATATTGGATTTGCAGCAATGTGATCTTGTTGCTGCCGTGCGTGATGTTGTGCTTTTGCAATTGTGTCGTGTATTGGTGTGTTTGTTTTACAATTGATGTTGCTTGTAATCGCGATTCGTAATTGCTGTGATATCTGCCCATGTAAGAGCTACAAACGTGGATTTCTGCTTGATGCCTTATTGCAGCGTGTAAAGTTGTGTTGGTAAAAAAAAAAAAAAGGAATTGATGCGGCTGCTTGCTACCTTGGGCAACATGTGAAACCATGTGGTCTTGTCTTTTCCGTGAGTGTTGCTTCAAAGGAAGTAATAGTTGCTGATTGTTTTCGACATAGAGAATTGTCACAACAATATTGTATACTTGTCATCGTGCTTTCCTGTTTCAATTACCGCTTATTGGTATAATTGTTGCATATCAGTAATTATCGTGTACTGTAGTCTCATTTGTTATTACAATGACCAATACCGGTTGGATTTTAGATTCCGGTGCAATGGATCATATGATGTATGATAGAATTTTGTTTCAGTCTATGAAAGATCCTCATAGGAAGTTGTGGCAACTGCCAATGGTACTACTGTTGCTGTTGTTGGAGCGGGAACAATGTCTCTTACACCCTCTCTTCCTTTACATAATTGTTTATTGGTTCCTTCATTGTCCTATCACTTATTATATGTACCTCAAGTCACTGAACAATTAGATTGTGTTGTATTAATATATCCTTCATTTTGCTTGCTTCAGGATATTTAGACAAAGGAGATCATTGGGCATTGCACTAAGAAGGATGGGCTATATTATGTGGATTACGTGGTTCCTGGAAGAGCTAATTTGGTTTATGCGTCACATAATAGTAATCTACAAAAGGTATTGTTATTGCATCGTCGTTTGGGGCATGCATCGTTTGGTTATTTGAAACATATATTACCTGATCTGTTCAGTGGTATTGAAGACTTAGAATTGAAATGTGACATATGTATTTTAGCCAAAAGTCATTGTGCTTCATTCCCTCCAAGTATGAATAAAAGATCTTCTCCGTTTGCGCTAGTACACTCTGATGTGTTGGGGCCTTCCCCTGTTAGACCATCTCCAATGGTGACCTAAAACCTAAAAATATTTAGCCCCGAAAATTTAGGTTTTAGCCCAGAAACAATTTTTTTGCTCCAACCCTTCTGGCCTAAAATTTTAGCCCGAGATTATCAAAGAATGAATTAAGGCTATTTTTTTTTAAATTAACTTTTTTTTTAAAAAATTTTTTTTGTAAACTATTCTAAATTAATTATATGAACATTTAAACCTAAAAATATTTAAATTCCGATAAATTTTGAAAAATCACTAAATCAATACATAAAAATCATGATAAACCACATAAATTTAATACAAACGACATTTAATAAACCACATAAACTTAATACAAATGACAATTAATAAACCACATAAACTTAAAAAAAAAAAAAAAAAAAAAAGAAGACAATTAATAAACCACATAAGCTTAATACAATCGAAAACTCATAAACTTAATAATGATATCCACCATCTTGACTTGGTGATGGACTTGGGTGGTATTCTTGAGATGAATCATCATCTTGAAATATACTCCTTGAGGCATTCCTTTGTAAAATGTCATTTTGCTTACCAAGTATTTCTTCCTCTCTGGAGTGTATTTGTCGAGGTTCTCCATCATCAAATTAATTTCGAACCTTTCTTACTCCCTATCCCCTTGTTCCTTCATGGCCAAACGCATTTGGGCCGATTCTTCTTGCTAAGAGATATTGTTTTCATTCATTCTTACCATTTCGCTAGCAAATTGTGAACGTATCGGATCTTGAGACTTCCTTTTTCTCTTTGCTTCCTTTTGCTTATCTCTACCCTGAGGGCCTTGCAAAAGAAGAAGTTGGGGTCATTTGTTCGACACCTTCATTGTCGGTAAAATTCACACCTTCATTGACATCATTTGGAGGTGGGGCTTCGCTATGAAATAATCTTCCACATTGTTGGTTCGCATCAGTTCCCCACCTCGGACAATCCTTGAGGATGTTCCAAGCATGATGCAACTTAAAAGCTTGATTTTTTGGTGTAGTTCTTGTCTTGTAAATTGCCATTGCTTTGTCACCCTATACAACAAATACATAAAAACAATTAGTTGCAAAATACTATTATGTACATGACAACTAAAATATCAACAAAGAAACTCACAATTTCTGAGGAGCTCCTTCCACTAGGCATGTCAACCGTGGCTCTCTCCAAACTTCCCTTCCACAAAGTGCACGCTTTGTTGATAATCTTCCACCGATCATAAACACCACCAACTTCCCTTCGACCGGCATTGGAGTTTTCATGGAACTTATCAATGATTTTACCCTACAAAACCTTTCTATTTTGATTCATGCCGATGGCACCATCTTCGCTAATAGAAATCCATGCCAAACATAAAGCAATATCTTCGTCAAAAGTCCAATTAAGACCTCTAACATGCTCTTTTGCCATCTTGAAAAATTTGGAAATGAGAAGAAATGGTAGAAAGAAAAATTGGAAGAATTGTAGGAGAAAAGTGAGTTTTGTGTGGATGTTTGAACAAATACATAGGTATTTATAGAGTTTTTGGTCGAATTTTAAGTTAAATATTTTTTTTTAATTATTTTAGCCGTTGGATTTAAATTTGGACTGTTAGATCTTTTTTTTTTTTTTTTACCGTTAGATTTGATTATATTCGATCTAAGCCGTTGGATTCAATAAATATATAAATATAAAACTAAAAAATAATAATTTGAACCTGAACCATTGGATTAACCAACGATCCATTTAAATCCAGCCGTTGGGCTACATAATTGGCTGACACCCGGGGGACAACCCCACATGGATGGGCCTGGCTTATCTTTCTCTCCAGTGTGTGCAGGCTGATTTTGCTTTATGGGCGATTGGAAGCTAGGCAGTGGGCTTCACAACCCCTGTTTCAGTCTCAGTTGGTGGGGCCCATTTTGCTTTGTGGCCTAAAATTGGGCTGGTATTTGGCCTTAGAATTATAAGTTTTAGGTTTTAGGTTTTAAGTTAATTTTAGGTTATAGGTTGGGGTGGGTTTTTTTGGGTTTGGGGAGGAGGGGGAGAGGGGGGAAGGGAAATTTTGGGTTTTAGGTCATTGTTGGAGAAGGTCTTAGTACTACTACAAGAATTAGGTGGTTTGTTACTTTCGCGGATGATTGCATTCGTATGACGTGGTTGTATGTGTTGAAAAATAAAAGTGAGGTTTATGATGTGTTTTGTCTGTTTCAACAGATGATTAAAACTCAATATTCCTCTGATATTAAATTTTTACGTTCTAGCAATGGTGGAGAGTACATAAATTCTGAGTTATCCCTGTTTCTACAAGATCGTGGAATTATTCATCAAACCACATGTTCGTATACTCCACACCAAAATGGGGTTGCTGAGAGGAAAAATCATCATATCTTGGAAACTACTCGTGCCTTGCTTATTGGTGCGTCTGTGCCTAAACAGTTTTGGCCTGAAGCCGTTACCTACGCCG